GAGCGCCTCCGGTGAGAACCCCCCCTGTGCAGGTGGACTGCTCTCCCGGCCCAGAGCCCGTCTGAATGAAAAGACACTTTCGAAGATGAAACGGGGCACAATCTCCTCACAGGTCGGCCTTCACGTTTCCAATAGGTTCTGATGGGAAACACGAACTCTGAGCCCAACGAAGTGAGACATTGGTCCTGCCCCGGCAGAGTCACCCCTGTCCTCAGTACCTCGTTGGACCATTACAAGCCAGACTCCATTATTTCTCCTATGTTGTCAGTGCTGGTGATGAGAATTCGAGGAAATTGGTTTTCTCTCTTATTATATAAATCCATGCAGAATTCCTTGATTTTTGCCTCCTGACCCACAAACCCTAAAATATTCACAATCTGACCTTTTATAGAGCCAGGATGCAGTCCCTTCTGATCACCCTAACCCTGGCTTACAGCACCCCTTTCTTCCTTAATTCTAAATCTTGCTGAGGCTAAAGTATGCCCGCCGGGGCCTCTCACCACGCGCTTGGGGGGTGGTCTCAGCCTGTCCACAGGCTGACCGGGGGGAGGCTTTTCTCCAGAACTGGGTCTGGGTACCCAGACGGGGCTGGCTGCCTCAGTCACTCATCCCGAGCACACGATCCCTGACCTCGCTGCTCCCTGACCTCGCTGCTCCCTGACCCTGTATTATCTGACCCCATGGCCCCCTGACCCTGTGGATCCCTGACCTCACTGCTTTCAGGGCAAGGTCATGCCCCCTCCCCCAGCGGCCACGTCTCTGGATCGGCCTACAGGGGAGGGAACAGTCTCCACACTGACTCTTGTGAACATGGGAATGATTGTAGGTACACGTGGGGCGCGTCCTGGGGCACGTGGCCTGCGCCCCACCCCCTTAGCAGAGCCACCCATCCCCCCCACGTGCAAGGTCAGCAAGGACACAGCCTTTGCGGTCACAACGTGAGGCACCAACGAGAGCCACCGGCCAGGGCTCCGAGCCCAGTCCTGCCGCCGTGAGCCCGGGGCCGTGACAGTGCTGTCAGCCTCTCGGGCCTCAGCGCCTCACCCCAGAGATGGAGCACGCCGCCGCCCCTCTGAGCGTCGCGAAGGCATAGCGGCCGCGCCCACAGCACCTGCTCTGGCCATGCTGGCAGTCCTAGGGCCAAGGCCCCGCCCGCCCCCACCCGCCGCCCCCAGGCGTCCCGCCGGGTCTCACTGAACCGGCTCCGCAGCCTGTCCAGGCAGTGGACCCCTTGTGGACTCAGGGCCACCCCGGGCCCTCGGCTCCCGGGCCCACAGCCCTCCTGGCCCCGTCTACCCTCCCCCTCCTTCCCGCCTCAGACCCACCTTCCGAGGCCCAGATTAGCTCCTGCCCAGAGGCCTCCCCGCTGCTCTTTGGCCCTGATTCCTGTTTGCGGCGGCAGCAGCCAATTTGTACTGACGATGTGTCGTGTGAAACACGTGTGTGCGTGTCTGCGTGCAAACCGTGTGCCGGCACACTCTGGAGACCTGACCTGGGCTGTGTGACCTAACTCTGACCGCCCCCCCCCCCCGACAAGGGAGCACCGTGCTGCCTGCTCCGTCAACAAGGAACATCAGCAACGGGGGCCTAGGTGGATCGCACGTGTTTTAACTTCCTGTACATTGTGGTGTTTTGACCTCAAAACATAAGCCCTTCCGGGCGGGGAGGGCCTGGCCACGGCGAAGGGGCCAGCCTGGGGCTCGCCTGTGCCAGCAGTGACGGGTCCAGGGCGCTGGCTCCTCTGTGCGCCCTGAGCCCCGGGGAGCGTGTTTCTCTGCCTTAGCCTCCCAGGGCCTGGCGCCAGGGACGCCCCTGAGGCCCAAAGTCCTCCGACGTTACTCAGCCCGGCAGTTCCTGGGCTGCTCCGTCGGCCCTGCCGCCTGCCCGGGAGACCCCCAGGAGCCCTGGGGCCCCTCACGCCCTCTCTGGGCCCTGGCCACCCGGCGTCCCCTCCCGACCCCGAGTGCACGTCGGCCCCTCGGGCCTCTGGGTACAGTCAGCTGTGTCTCCCTTGTGCCGCACCCGGGGGCCTGTCGCAAAGGAGCTCACCGTCAGGTGGGCCCCCGGCGCCACACCAGCTCCCTCCGTCCGGGGTCCACACGCTCACCCGCCAGGTCCTTCTAGCCGTGCGGTGCCCCCCGAGTACGGCCTTCTGTTGTGCGGCTCCTCACTCAGTGGAGTCTTGTCTTATAGCCAAGACCCTGGGTTCAAGGTCGGAGTTCAGCCCAAGGGCAGGCCCGGGGGTGAGCAGGCCTCCGGTCACTGCTGCCGACCACACGCCCTGCGCCCCCTCCCCCGCTCAGCTGCCAGCCCCCCCCTCCCCCCCAGGGCAGCTGCTGCTGTCCCCGAGTCACGGGCGAGGCCCCTGTCCCAGGGCCCGGCCCTCACGGCCCTTCCAAACCCAGCGCCTGTCTCCTGGCCCCCGCCCGTCCGTGTCCCTGCCGCGGCCTGCGGGCAGCCTCCTGCGCTGGGACCCGGGACCGCGCGCCCGTGCGGGAGGCGCCTGCTGCCGGCTCGCGGCGGGTTAGTATTCGGGAACTCTGCCAGCCCCCCGCTAGATAGGCGGCTTGAAGCGCCTGCAGCGCAGGAGCCGGCAAACGCTAGAAATGAAGGCCTTGCACTTCCAGCTTCTGCTGACGCCAGCTTAGCAGCACAGCAGCGGGCAACCTGGAGGGACACGGAGCCGGAATCCCGAAACTCCGGCGGGTTTGGGGGAAGCGGCCGCATCCAACGAACGCGTGGAATTTCATGTCACAAAGGACGTGGCCACGTGGCCAGCGAGCGGGGCCGAGGCCCAGGGCGTGCACATGGCCTGCTCTTTGCAGCGACGACACAGAGGCCCAGAACGGGGCAAAGTCCCCTCCGGTCCCCAGGAGCCAAGCCCCGCGGCCGAGCTGGGGGACCGAGAGCTTCCTCCTTAGGGACGCAAGAACGCAGGCCAGGGGCCGGCAGCCTGGTCCGGCGGCTCCCCACGCCGGCCCTGCCCGCACGGCGGGCCCCCTGCATCCTCCGGGGAGCTCACCTTGGCCAGGTGAGTGGCCAGCTTGTCCCTGGCGTCCTTGGTCTCCTTCAGCCCGTTCCGGAAGGCCACGTCCACCGCGTCGCACTGCCTGCGCAGGTCGCCGGCCGTCTGGGACAGGAGCCGGTCCGCCAGGGCCTTCAGCTCCAGGGAGCTGGTGATCTGCCTGGCAGCCTTCTCCACGTTGGCGTTGGAGAAGTCCAGCCAGTCCTCCAGACTCACAGAGCTGCAACGGAAGCCACGCGCTCTCTCGCGGCCCGTCGGGGCTGCGGCAGGGGGTGCGCGGCTGGCAGGGCCCAGAACTCCGCGGAAGCTCGGGACGCCCCTCCCCGGGCGGGGCCCGCACTGGTGCCTCTGTGGGAGACTCGCCTGCCCCGCTGGGCCTGCGTCCGCGGGTGTGGACCCTAAAGGGCGCGATTAGCGTGCCCCTCGTACACTTAGAGCAAGACAAATCCTCACTGTTCAGAGGTTTCACAGGAGACGCTCCCCAGGCGCCCCCCCCCCCCCCCCCCCCCCCCCCCCCCCCCCCCCCCCCCCCNTGCCACTCACCGGGGATCCACCCGCGTGGCGCTCTCCGAGTATCGGATGTTCGGGGAGTTGTTGTTGAGGGAGACGCAAACGTCGTCGATGGTCAGGGCCACAAACTTGTCCTTCAGGTCCTTCTCCAGCTTGTACTTGGCCGAGCGGTTCAGCCTGCAAGGAGGAGGCGGGTTCGCTCCGCGACACCCAGGCGGCAGCTGTGGGGTCCCAGGGACCATGGGTGACCCGCCACCACGGGGCCACCGAGCGGGCCACGGCGCCTGCTCCCCTCCTGCCCCCGGCACCAGGCTCAGCCCCGGGTCCGCTAGCCTGGCCTTCCAGACCCTCCCCCACCGTGACGGCTCCTGAAGTCACCGCGGAGGCCGGCTACACGTGAGGGGTCAGCCCTGGCGGGAAACACCCCGTGTCCTTCAGGGTGAATCTCCCCCCACCCTGTCCCCACCCACGGCCAGGGGGCGGCTGTCACGTGGGCCTGACCCCCGGGGCCGTTTCCTCCTGACCTGATCTGCTCGGACGCCTCCTCCACGGTGCGCGTCAGCAAGGCCGTCACCCCGCGGATGACCTCAGCCTCCTTCACCAGCTCCTGCTCCACCTCATCGTGCACCAGGTCGATGCCGACCCGCCTCTCCCTGGCCGAGGGGGAGGGGCCGGTCATCCGACAGGTCGGGGGACCCTCGATACGCAGTCTTTCTGGACAACGGGTTTGAGTACGACCCGCCCCGTGTGCATGGCGTGGTCAGGACGTGCACGGGTCCGTTTCTGTGGGACCTCGAAATATCCAAGCCACCAGGAGGCAAGCCGGATCGGTCGGTCCCTGCTCACTGCTCACGCCCGAGGCACTTCCCCCCTTAATGTGGCCTTCGTTCCGGAAGCCTTTTCCCTCTTACCCGTTCATTAGAAACGTTGTCTTTTGACTGAGAATTTCAAAGACATGTGTTTCCTTCCTGGAAACAGGACCCAGTCCTGATTTTCGCCACGGATTTGAATCCAGAAAGAGGAGCTGACCTTTCCAAAGGGACGTTGTAACACGTGCCAATAAACGCCCGGAAACAGAGCTTCAGAGCGAGTGACTCCCCAGGGTCCCGTCATGTTCCCCCCAGAAGGACCCATCCCTGCCGCTCTCTCTCTCCACCCCGTGGGGCCATGTGTGGCGGGAGGGCCCCACCCCCCCCAGCTGGAGTCTCAGGCACACTGCACAGCTCAGGGGCACCTGGCTTGCCCTCCGGGGAAATGGGCGTAATTACGACTTTCACGGGGTTTGGCAGGGAACAGGGAGGAGCAGGTGCGGACGGCGAGGTCCCTGGCTCGTGGCAGCAGGCGCCCCACCACCCTACAGCCCCCCGCACAGCCACCCTGGGCGTGACCCTGGGCAGCGGGGACTCGGCGATCGCCCGCTCCTTCCCCTGGCCTCACAAAGCCCGCTTGTGGCTGGGAGGTGGCTGCTGAGGGAGCGGAGGCTTGGACGCTGCAGGCCGCAGCCCACCCCACTGCCGGGCGTGAGGGGAGGGAGGGTCCAGAGAGGCCCTGGGGCCCAGTCGCCAGGACCCTCAGGGGCCTGGCCGAGGCGCTGCCGCTTTATCTGGGAGGCACCGGGTTGTAGGGACAGGACTGTGAGCAGGGGGGCGACCTGGGAAAACCTGCATCTGCATCCGGGAAGGCTCGGCCGCCAGCAGCCGGGGCGGAGGGGCCTGCGCCCAGGAACCTCCAGCGTCCCCCAGAGCAGGAAGCCCCGCCCACTCCCAGCCCTGGCAGGAGGGGAGGGACCGTGAAGGTGCGACCGCACAGGGCCCTCTGGACGACCGAGCGCTCCCTCCTGTGTGGCTGGGAGCGCTGGAGCGGACCCTCCTGGGGAAGCTGCGCCTGCCCTGCGGGCCACGCTAAAGACGGCTGGCGTGGCCCCGGGACTAGCTGGCCAGTGGGAGGCAGGCGGGAAAGGCAAGGACCAGACCCTCACTATTGCTACTTGCTGGAGTGCGGACAGAATGGCCGGAGCTCTGGCTGCCGTCTGGCAACACGAGGTAACCTGGGGAGTGAAGGTGGGGGGGGTGGGGGGGATGGGACAGAAGAGGCCGGAGCCCCGCGCGGTCTCCAGGCTCCCCAGGCGTCAGACAGAAAGAAACTGCCCTATTTAAGCCCCATGCTGTCTTGCGGGGCACAAACCCAGTCCTGCCTTCCACCTCAGTTAAGTGGGCGAGAGCTCCTTCGCTGCCCGCCGCCCCGGGGAGGCCGAGACCACGTCCCTGTTTGCCCCCGGTGCCCCGCCCCCAGCACCCCGCGCCGCCCGCAGAGGTCCCTCCGGGCGCCCCCGCCCACCTGTACTCCAGGCACAACTGGGTGATGTGCAGGGGCCCCTTCAGGCCGTCCAGTGCGTTCTGCAGTCTGGTCCGGTAGGTGAGCAGCTCTTCCGTGACCAACACCAGCTGCTCAAGCTTCTCGTCCAGCTCCTTCTTCCAGAACCTGACCTCCTGGAGCCTCTGTTCTGGGGCCACACAGACAAGACAGGGCGTCACAGGCCTGGGCCAGCCGCCTCCGGGGCCCCGACTCTGGGATGAGACCCCGAAGCCACCAGGACGCACTCTCCGCTGCGGGGGGCACCTTCCCAGCATCGTGTGGACTGGGCGCAGGCGGCCGGCGGTGGGGGGGGGGGGCAGGGCTCGCCTCCTACAAAACCAGCCTTGAGTTAACGCAAACACCACCCACGCCGGTCGCTCGAATTCTTCAACGCTGCCGTTGCTCACAACGTTTAGTCTAACCAAAGCCATAACCCTACGGTGTTTGGAAAGCCAGAGACCCAGTACCGCAGTTCTCTGACCCCTCCCCACCCACGGCCGCTTCTGGAGGCAGCCGCCTTCTAAATGCTTTTAGAATTTCTTCCAGCATTTGCTCACACGGCTACTTACCTGTGACCACATCTAGCGACGGCTACCGATTTCCTGTGGGTGAAAGACCAGGGTTTGTCCTTATGTAACGAGTCTCTGCTCCTTCTGGCTTTGAGATTCAGCTGCATCCGCTTTCTGTTAAAGAATCACTTCACACTTGTTCGTGGTTCTGTAACTACGTGAGTGCGATTCACACCTGAGCCAGGCAGTGTGCTAAGGTCAATTTCTTCTCTCCTACAGTTTTTGGTTGTGTGTTTTCCGAGGGGCTGGTCGTTGTGTTTTTGTTTCACGTCCCAGATACGCATCACTAACTTTTCCTTCGACTTTCTTATAGAACTACAGCCCCCCCCAAGTATTTTCAAACCCAAAATTGACTGATGGCTTTGCTTTCTCCCCAAGACCTCTGCCCGGAGCGCTTTCTCCACGCCGCCCGCCCCGCCACCGGCCTGGTTGTTGGTGACGCTTGTCGCTCCAGAGCCCCTCCCCCTGCGCACCCGCTGCAGCCCCCCCAGCTCTGTTCCAGAGCCCCTCCCCCTGCGCACCCGCCGCAGCCCCCCCAGCTCTGTTCCAGAGCCCCTCCCCCTGCGCACCCCCTGCAGCCCCCCCAGCTGTTCCAGAGCCCCTCCCCCTGC